CCCGTTTGAGAGAAGAGGGTTGCCAAATTTTAGTAATCGAATTTAGACGAAGGATTAGCAGACAAAGATTAATTAATCGCCCGTTTGCATTTTGGGAAATTTTAGTTACGTTGAGTAACAATTTACGTTACAATTTGGGCATGTGGGCTGCTAATAGCCTGAAGAACAGTTTTAATTTAGTAATTTGTTCCTCGCCACGTCCTCATTTTCTGGAATGGGAACACTTTATATACGCTGTAACTGTAATCATGATACGTAAGTTATAAGCTGTACCAACTGTAAACGTAGTCGCTAATGACCACAAGGTTCATGCGACTGTAAATAAATATAAATTAAAAAAAAATTGTTTTGGGCAGTTTGTTACTTTTTCGTGCAGTGAATAATGCACTATACGGAATAAGGTGACTGCTTTAGCTTATTCGGGTTTTAAAATTAGAACGCGGGTTTCAAGCGGTGGCGTCATAATGTAGATTTTCCAACTCAGAAATACGAGTAGGTATAGAAAACCGAATCGGAAAGCCTGTTGCTTACGTAGATATTTACACAGAGGGCGAGTAGGTCTTGGACAACCGTTCCTGCTTGAATGAGAAGTAAATTCGAAGTACACTTTAGCACGTTTTCGTGGGATGCACCGTTTCAAGCACTGTGTCTGTCCGTTTTCCGAAACATTGTTAAACGAAGGGGAGTTTCAACCCTTTATTCCAACAAAGACGAATCATCAAATAAGCTAAAAATGTATAAAAAGACGAAAGCCAAGTTATCATACTAAGTACTACTTTTCGGGCAACAATCTGCATCCTCGGGATTAAAACACACACTTTAGTCCCTTGGTATATAATATACCTACTAATAATTCATGAACTGAACAGACAATAATATCGTACTCAATCGTACTTATAATCACGCTAATTTCCTTAGTTTATTTTATTATTTTTAGGAAACAGGATATGTACGTACATGGGCCAAAGAATTCTCAAAATAGTGCGCAAAGCATTATCATTATGATTCATATTCCTAAAATGTCATAGAATATTGACACTCGCCTTAAACGCCTTTTACTGTATCTAAAGCTTACTGACCAGTCAGTTTATTCAGTTTTCTTAGTTTAGAAACAAAGATTTATGAAATAAAGTCCGCATTTAGGTAGAGGGAAACCTCTTAAGCTTAATTTCTACAAAGATTAAAGGACTGCAATCGTTAGAAGACGTCTTGACTTTGATAAGAAAATAACTGTTTTCTTATAACTAGCCCATAAGTTGTGGCGTCGACCACAATAGAATTAATTAACTTGACCTTGGATCAACAGAGAACATTGCTGCTAATTTAAACTTAAGTGCTACGGAGTAATACGAATTTTTCGGTTGAGATTACAACTTACACTCTAATGTCACTATAAAAATTTCCAAGTGTTTATAATTCTGTTACACTTCTTCACATGCTGAAACAAAAGTAGCTGTTTAGTTATTTGCCATTTCAAAATTATGTGGTAGGAATAAATAACTAAAAATTGTCTTAATCCGGTTTCGTCCAGGTAGACAGGCATTTTAGGTTTTGACCCTACGAAAAATAACGTAAATCTGAAAGTTGGCACAGTTGTTCTATTTGATGCGCTGAACAACATATAAAAAGTCCCAAGAGTTCCCATGTCGGCTTCCTTGAAGTTCGGGCTTTCGAAAGTCCGAACTCTTGAAATCTGCACGACGCCACTATAATTATAGCCTAGCGAACGAACGGAAAAAGTCCCAGAGTCGCGGGAGGGCTTAAATTAAAGGTTAGTAACCAGGCTATCTTTTGATATTTTCTGCAAGTGCCAGTGACAACTTCCGGCCAGACAGGAAGTGGAAAAAGACCGCTAAACTTGACAAAAAAATTGGTTTTCGTTTTTTGTTTGGACATAGGTGCGGTTTAGCGTCCGATATCGGAAAAATGACCAAAACAAATGTTGTAGAGCGTAGTTTTAACTTTAAAACCGTACCCTTTGCGTTGAAATCCGACCAATAGGAGAGGAGCTACAAACCGTTAAGTGCGATCCCACGCGCCGCTCGCCGTTGCGCGACTTGCCTGAGAGGTGCACCAGATCGACCAGATACGGTTGGCTTAATAGCGGCGCATCTCTGACTTATTCGTATTTTGACTGTGAGCGTTTTAGACTTTTGGGATGTATTTAGTGCGTAAATTTTGAGGGAAACTGTACTGTATTTTTTTCTAAACAAAACAATCCAAATTAAAAATTGTTGAGTAAACTTCGTCGTAAAACAAAGACAGGTTCGCTGTTTTAATTCGACGTTCCTTCTCCATCGGATTCTTCGTCTTCGGACTGGGGTTCGGGAACATTATTACAGCTCCTGCCTCTACAATGGGCGCATGTAGGTTGGCAGAGCCGCACGAACAGCGGTTAAAACAACCTTGCTGGCAAGCGCAAGAAATCAAATGTGGATGTTCGTCTGGTGCTGGTGGCAGACTTGTCGGATTTGGAACAAGTGTGGGCCCCATTTTTTTTAGCCCCAATCCGTTGGCAAAAGACAGTTCGATAGCCATTCTTGAACCTAAAATAAGGAAAATAGGAAATAGAATTAACTAAATCATTCTAAAAACTACTGTACAATCAGATTCAATATAAACATCTCGCCAGGAAAGATTGCCGGTCACAGAAGACCTGATCCCGGTCTACAACCTGTCTTTTTCTAAAGATGTGAGCGACTTCCAGGATAGGATCGTGCCAATCTTGAAGGAAAAGTCTTTTCGTTCAACATTGGCACGATCCTATTCCGGAAGTCGCTCGCATCTTAAAAAAAACATAGATTGTAATTTGACACAAGGTGCGCTGTGACCGGCAATCTTTCCTGGCGAGAGTTATACCGTCTTCTTTACTGCCGTAGAGATGAACAATAAATTTTTCACCAGCTGATACGATGGATTCTTTTGATGTGCCCGGTTTGTTGAACGTGAACGCAATATTTTGTAGGTGTGGGTTTTCTAAAAGCTTCCATGACTTCTTTTTTCCTTGGTTGTACAGCGCCGATGTATTATCGCAGCCCGTTATCGCACGAAGGAATAGGTGCGAAGAAAGACTGCCTACTATTCCTTCATGCGATAAAGGGTTGCGATACTACATCGGCGCTGTACAACCAAGGAAAAAAGAAGGCATGGAAGCTTTTAGAAAACCCACACCTACAAAATCTTGCATTCACGTTCAACAAACCGGGCACACCAAAAGAATCCATCGTATCAGCTGGTGAAAAATGTATTGTCCATCTCTACGGCAGTAAAGAAGACAATCAAAACCTGGACGATCTCCAAATTCACCTCTATGCTCGCGCAGTAGCAAAGCAAAGCAAAGCTACGTTTGATCTAGCTACATTGCCGCCAACAACCGCCGCTGCCGAGCAACACAGTTTGCGGACGTACTTGCAAGTGAGATATGGAATCTGATTGTACAGTAGTTTTTAGAAAGATTTAGTTAATTCTATTTCTTATTTTCCTTACTTTAGGTTCACGAATAGCCATCGAACAGTCTCTTGCCAACGGATTGGGGCTGGAAAAAAATGGGACCCACACTTGTTCCAAATCCGACAAGTCTGCCACCAGCACCAGACGAACATCTACATTTGATTTCTTGCGCTTGCCAGCAAGGTTGTTTTAACCGCTGTTCGTGCCGCTCTGCCAACCTACACTGCACTTTAATGTGCGCGCATTGTAGAGGCAGGAGCTGTAATAATGTTATAATGTTATATATAATAATGTTCCCGAACCCCCTTTGTTTTACGACGAAGTTTACTCAAAAATTTTTAATTTGGATTGTTTTGTTTAGAAAAAAATACAGTACAGTTTCCCTCAAAATTTACGCACTAAACACATTCCAAAAGTCTAAAACGCTCACAGTCAAAATACAAATAAGTCAGAGATGCGCCGCTATTAAGCCAACTGTATCTGGTCGATCTGGTGCACCTCTCAGGCAAGTCGCGCAACGGCGAGCGGCGCGTGGGATCGCACTTAACGGTTTGTAGCTCCCCTCCTATTGGTCGGATTTCAACGCAAAGGGTACGGTTTTAAAGTTAAAACTACGCTCTACAACATTTGTTTTGGTCATTTTTCCGATATCGGACGCTAAATCGCACCTATGTCCAAACAAAAAACAAAAACCGATTTTTTTGTCAAGTTTCGCGGCCTTTTTCCACTTCCTGTCTGGCCGGAAGTTGTCACTGCCACTTGAAAAAATATCAAAAGATAGCCTGGTTACTAACCTTTAATTTAAGCCCTCCCGCGACTCTGGGACTTGTTCCGTTCGTCCGCTAGGCTATAATTATAGTGGCGTCGTGCAGATTTCAAGAGTTCGGACTTTCGAAAGCCCGAACTTCTAGGAAGCCGACATGGGAACTCTTGGGACTTTTTATATGTTGTTCAGGGCATCAAATAGAACAACTGTGCCAACTTTCAGATTTACGTTATTTTTCGTAGGGTTGACCCCATTTCTGATCTAAAATGCCTGGGCTAGTGGTATTAACAAATTTTTCTTGAAATATATATACATTAGAAGTTGACGTCCGAAAACCTTTATCATGAGTGCAACGAAAATTCGTAGAAGAAAAGGTATCCGACGTGAAGGTCAATTTTATATTTCGAATCATTTCACGAAGCATTGTATCAGCCAGAAATAACCGCCCCTAACCTGTGTTATATCCACAGAAAGACATTTGTTTATATGAGCTCCGCTATTTTATTTATATAAGATAAAATCATATGTGATTGAAGAAAAAAAAGTCTACAGTAAAATTTGAAATTAAACGTTCTTAAAGATAGCCATCTCTATGCAATTTAAATCCGTTGGCATTGCATGTAT